TRTKTKKRGKKTTTTTKKKGGGAGGTTTSTTGTTTTGGTTTCCTCAGTATTTCCATCGCTATGTGTATATTATAGTCAGGAGTTTCACAAGAGTTTCGTTTGTCCACAGAGGAAAAGGCAGAGCACAGGCTTACAGCCAAGGTTTAAATGTACAAAAAAGTCATGGTAAATACTAACCCAGGTGATTACTGAGCTTTCTCATAACTTTTTCTGCACAAAAAACTTTCTACATGAGTCTACCAAATCCAGGGGTTCCTTTGCTCTTAGCCAAGTGTCCGTTCATCTGACAGAGAGGAGAACTCACAATTCTCACACATTTCTGTAGGATTTTTGGGTACAATAAAAACAACAAAGGCTGCACCCAGCTAGCATAAAAGCTCTGTAGGAAACATTAGCAAATCATTAAAAGACACAATGCCCTACCTCACCAGAAGGTAAAGAAAAAATAGTGGCACGATAAGGAAAATGACTGGGACAGCAGAGATTTAATCAAGACATAACTTAAGTTTTGAATAATGTATTTAATTCAACTTGCTTGTTCCTTCTTATCCATAATGCAAATCCATTGAAATCAAATCAGAAGTCTGTCCTTTCCTCTCCTCGTACCTACCTCATATTTTTAGCCTGACTTTGCACATTTATAGTAAAGTAGAAGAAGTTCTCTTTCATCTTCATAATTATTTAAACAGCAAAACTACCTTTTGATAATTCTTAGTGGTTTACAATTGATGGTGAATGGCTAAATCAAATTACCAAAGCAGGAAAGTGCAAGAATTACCACCCTGGAATATTTTAAAGGCAAGAGACACGACCCACAACTTTTCAAACAGAGGAAGAACAACASCATTTCATTTTAAAGGTTGGGAACATTTGAAACAAGCCCAAAGCRTCTCCCCCAGAGCAGAACTKTTTCAGTTTTCACAAAAGGATTAAAAATGTTTTTTACACAGCCTGTACTGGTGCGAAAAATGTAACATTGGATTTTGCATAATGTAACCTTGAGAACAAACAATGAAAAAGTAAAAGCTTTTAAAAAAACAAAAAACTGTGACTCAAGGCACTGCAGTCATTAGGGATGATACAGAATAACTCAGAGAAGCACCACATGAAATGAAACACATCACAGACCTGTCTCATACAGAAATCTTTTCATCTGTTGCTAAACAAAGAGAAACCTTGTGATATTTTATGATTCTTAACACTGAAAATGAATTTTCATCTTCCTCTTTTATAAACTGTATTTTGAGTGTAGGCTGATTATGATGCACACAGAAAGTAAACCTTGAAGCACAAAAAAACTGACTAAAGTATTATGAAATAGACCTAGAGAAAACTTCATGTGCTAAAGCAAGCACAACCACACGGCAAAAAATCTGCACCACAACTGATTTGTAGGGAAAGTTTGCTGTCAATAATTCAAAATAATTCAGATAAATTATTATTTCTGAGAAAGCTGAAAATCTGTTCACCTCCAAATCTTTGGCAGTGTTTCATGCTTCAAGTAAGGGTTGGAAACTGGCTCTATCCTTTCACAGGCTAAATGTGAAGGCCATCAAGAACTATTTTTAAGCATTTCCAAACTTAAAGTGAGGCAGAAAATAATACCCATATTATAATACTGTCCCAGAAGTGCTCGTAGTTCTTATTTTTCAGTTCTAAGCAGGGAGAAGTTTTTCAAAATCCTACAGATTTTGCTTTTCTGACAAGTTCAAGTGGGATTTGAAATTCAAAATAGCAACTTAAACAGTTCTGACATCACTAGTGAAGAAAAACCAGCACTGGAAGACAGGAGARCAATGCTAATGACATGTGGAGATGGACAGGATCCAATTCCCTCTTGGAGCTGCAGTGGCTCTGCAAAGCTGTGGAGAATAAAGCAGTGAGAGAAACTTGTCTGTGCCCTGGAAGGAAGCAGCCCTGACCTGTAATTACAGGTTTACAGGCACACAGAAATGATGAGCACGAAGGTGACAATTTCAGACAGCTCTCCTGAGTGCAGAGGTGGCACAAGAACTCTCTGCCACCCTCCTCTCCTGCTCCAGCTCTACAGATCATGGTGCTATGGAGTCACAGACAGAGCTGCAGCCCAGGAAAATGCAAAGTCTAATTGTTTAAATGTATGCACACATATCCTGTTGAAAGCAGAGTGAGATTCTGCTTCAGATTTGTGTATTTGAAAGCGGCCTGACCCCCCCTGAACAACATCAGCACAATCCAAAGAGCTCACAAGGATAACAGACTGAATCTCTCYATCGAGGACTTTGTAAGAATTCTCTGAGTGTACTGACTGGGAGTCAGGAACTCTCTAAATTAGTCACTGAAATCATGTCCTGCAGCTACACTCGCTGTTCACCTTTGCTTCTTGGAAAAGGTCTCCCTGCATGGCAGCTGGAAAAACCTGTGACAGCAGCAGAACCAATTTCAAATACCTGGAAATTCTAGGAACAAAACATCAGTGGGATAAACCTTTCACCTGGATGATAATATTGGATTTAACCATATCTCAAGGTTATTAGGCATACTAACAGATCTACTTTTAAAGAAGATTAATTTATTGCTAGAGTTCACYGAGTTTTTCTTCCTRGTTATTCACAGAAAAGCTTCCCTTKTRTGATSRGAGGTCGAGTTGGCTGTAGCAAATAACCAACTCTGATGTTTCTGCAAAGCCAACATTAAATCTAAACATTCAGCTACTGAATCTTTCAACTACAAATCAGCTATAATCTTTCAACTGTAAACAGCACATAGAGTTTCTCAGTGTAGTTTTATAGGAAAAAGAGAACAGCTGTTTTATTGATGTTGATGTCTCGATTTGAGATGAAATGATATGCATGTTACCCAGAATCTGCAATGTGCTCTCTTCCAATGCTGCTTCTCAACAWTTCCTGACTATTCCAACATTCATTTTTCTTACTCCATTTGGACCTGGTTATCTAATGACATGGAGATAWTTTCCCCTTGTTTCTGCAGTGTGCRACCCTTGGATGGTAAGGTGCAAGTGTATTTGCCAAAGCTGGAAGGGATAACCATAATGCAAGTTAAGAATATGAAGGATATGATACTAAAGCATTTTATAAATGTAATACAAGAGAGGAAAAGACTTGTGTATCTGACAAAACACAGACAGTCAGAACACACACAGAAACTTCAACCTCCTTAACTTTTGTTGTTGCTGCTGGTAAAAGAAGCAACCCAGACTTTTAAGAGGAAGCTAAAATCTAAATGCCTCGATTTTTCTTGGGAAGAAGTTTTGCATTTCTCTGCTGAAGTACAGCCCATTGTGCCATCTGCATGCCAGCAGGGAAGAGTCATGGAAAACCAGAGAATCTGGAACTCATTTAATAGTAAAAGAATTCTGTCTCAGAAGAATCAGAATTTTGCTGCAGAGTTCCATTCCATTTTCTGCTATGCTGCTRTATATGGAGCTCTATAAATTGTTCTTTAAGTGAGATAGCATTTCCYTCTATCCTGTCACTGTGTTCAAAACTCAGCCATAACATCATGTTCATAATTTAAATCCCTGTAAAAAGCACTCATCACTCTGCAGTAAAATCTTCTGCTACAATAACCTCAGCTTTAGACTGAATTTATTCAAACCTTTCTCTGAAGTAATATGTTCCTCTCTAGAAAATAACAGCAATATAACATGGCAGAAGAGCTCAGAGGAGCACTTCATAATTTTAATATTTTATCGCTGAGAAATGTATCCTTGTCTCTCAGCATTCACTTCACTTCTCTCTTTCAAAAGAAATAAATAAAAGGGAGAATGCTAAAACACTAC